CATTTGAACTTTATAATTCTCATATACTTCATATGTTAAATGTAAATAAATAACAGTATATATGTCTTTTACTCATAAGACAAGTCAGAATTAGGACTTATCTGTAAAATAAAAACCACAGACAGTATGCTATAATAAATTTGTTCCCTGAATATAATCTTAAAAGTACAGTAATTATCTAATTAATGAAACCTAAGCAAATCAGTAAACAAAACTGAAAGTTATCTTACTGAATTTGTTAACTGAACAAAAATATTTTACACATTTTCATTTGTAAATGATACTGTAAGTACTTTTTATGAAATGCAGGATTAAAAATTTAAATCATGTTCATGCATCAATTTAAAGGTAATGCCTATCTCACTTTGAGTACACAAACCTCTTATTCCTACTTTTGGAATTTCAAATATACAACAAATATTATATTTAATAGCAGTTAAACCTAACAATTATATATGTATACATATATAATCTACATCTATTATATCAACAACTACAAAGCAGGTAATGGTAGGTTTCTGACTGCAGTAAAATTTTAACCACTTCATCCAGTTCAAATGTTACCTCTCTATAAAGACTTCCCCAATCTAATAATTTATCCATGACCAGCTCCTCCCCCAGTCTCTCTCTGTACTCCAAAAATACTGTGAACACACCTTTACCATCTTAAACACTCTCACACATGCTATAGTAAGTAACTTATCTCCCTGACAATATTACCCACTTATTTCAAAATTAGAAGCATTGTTTATTCTTGTATGCCCAGTACTTAGCACAAGGCTGGGATATAATGTACACTCAAAATTTGTCAAATGAATAAAAGTAGATTATCAAGTAGCAATGACAATACAAATATCTAAATAAAACACAGGAGGGCCCACAAGGTAAATACTTAAACAAACGTAAGTTATCACTCCATAAGAGTGCAGAAACTTCCACTTTTTACATCCGATATTTCTGTTACTGGAACATTTTTATAATAAGCAAATAACTGCTAAGTTTCCAAATAAAAAATTAATAGGAAATGTTTTTCTAGAAAGATAGGTTTCAGATTTGCTTATAGGAAGCAAAAGTCACTTTAAACCTATTCCACAATTATTTCTTCAAATAATTATGTCTTTTACTATATTATTCTCTTCCTACTTTCTAACCTAGGGATGAAAAAGAAATTCTAGAACAGGAGCTACAATCCAGGGAAATAAGAAGTATTTTAAATAATTCTATGACATTAGTGGATGTACTATTCAGAACACCCATACTATCTAGCTAGTTGCTGCATGCACCCTTTTGGTTACTTACAAAAATTCCCTCTATGTCTCATGTTCAAAACTATTTGAAGAAGATTCCTAACTTCAGTGAAGTTTTTGGAAGAATAATCTCCAAACTGGAGATAAAGAAACTTTCATGAAATTCTGGTAAAGACAGAACACATGGAACATACTACTGAAGCAAATACTATGATAAAATATATTTTTGACATTTTACTTAGTAACAACCTAAACCAATTGTTCACTGTTACAGTTTATCAAACAAAGCAAATGTGAAAAAAAGACGTATTTTTTATGATTACGTATTATATAGTAAAAATAATAAATAGTAACCGAAGGAAAACCTATAATCCATAAATGTTATATAAAGACAATTTTGACTTATAAAACCAGAAGTCTTCTCAGGACACTCTCATCCATCCCAATGTACCAACCAATACAGAATATCAAAGCTTCTTCTTCAAATTCAAAAATGTTGCAGATTCTTAATCAGAGAACGTTCTATAAATTCTCATTTTATATATTACTCTATGACAGATTTACTTTGAAAGAATACCAAAAGATAATTTGGTATAGATAGCAAAAAATGTGAAAAATAGAAGGGAATAAAGATTTTGGTGTACTGAAAGTGTCTCAAGGTTATTTGAAATATATACAAATAATATTATGCTGAGAACGATTTGACCTCATTTATATCTAAAAATCACTTATTTTTAACCTAGATTATTACCATTTCTCTTCTCCTTTCCTCTTCTCTTTCAGCCTCTTTCTCATACTCCCGGGTTTTCTTCCGTTCTCTGATTTCCCAATTCTTAAGGCGCTAAAAACGAAATTGTCAGAGCTTTAAAAATATACACAGGGTTCTAAAATTTTTGCATAAGCTACTAAGTACCCAACTTTACCAATATAAGCATTTCCTCAATTTACCTCTTGATAAGCAGCTTCTTTCTCCCGGAGTTTTCTTTCAAGTTTTCTTCGTTCATATGCATCTTCTTCATCCTCTTCTCGATCCCTTTTCTTGTCTTTTTCTCTTTCTCGCTCCCGTTCCCTTTCACGCTCTCTTTCTCGTTCACGCTCTCTTTCTCTTTCACGTTCTCTCTCTCTCTCTCTTTCCCGCTCCCGCTCCCTTTCACGATCTCTGCTCTTTTCTCTACATAAAAAAAAAGATTTTTAAAATTCTGTCATTCTTTTTGTTTTCCTTTAAAAACCAAGGTAGAGAACATATATTATGAAATAGACAAGCCAGAATTCAGCATTTCATTTCTGCAAAACTGTAAACTCCTTTATATTCATCAGAGGCACAGAATAGAATTCTAGCCCCAAATTCTGAATTCGGTGTTAATGCATATTGGTATCTCAGAAAATAAACCAAGAAACCCTGGAAATAACAAATACAAAGGGCTTCCCTAGCTGATTTGGCTCAGTGGATAGAGTGTCAGTCTGCAGGCTGAAGGGTTCTGGGTTCAATTCTGGTCAAGAGCACATGCCCGGGTTGCAGCCTCAATCTCCAATAGGTAGCATGCCGGAGGCAGCCGATCAATGATTCTCTCTCATCATTGATGTTTCTATCTCTCTCCTTCTCCCTTCCTCTCTGAAATCAATAAAAATATATTTTTTTAAAAAGAAAAGAAATACAAAAGGCTAATGAACATATTAAAAAATAGTTTATTTCACTTGTAGTCAAGGAATGAAGGTGATAAAGGGTGCGGAGAAAAGAGCATTTTGTCATGTTACACGGATAAATTACAACTATAGGAGCAATGAAAAGTTCTCAAATATTTAATTTGAAACAATAAAACCAAATTGCAGTATATGATATAATGCCATGAATCTAAATACAAATATATAGTATATATGAAAAAATACACTGTTCTGTAGTTTAAGTATAAAGACACTATTTTATATATGTAAAATTCTCAATAATAGTCAAAAGGATACTGGTTATTCCAGGGGAGATGGAAAAGAAGAATTTTAATGCCCACTAAAGATTAAGAGCACTAAACTTCCAGTTCCAGTAACTGATTAACTGACTTAAAGGGGACCTCCCTTCAGGTACAATCAGATGGAAAATCTGCAAGCCAAAAATGTGTATTTGAAAACTAGCTTGAAAAAAAAAAAAAAAGATGTGCTTTTCTCTCTTCTCTCCTTCTACTCTCCCTTTTCCTCTTCCTTCCTTTGCTCATTTTTGCTCCCTCATTCCTAAAGAATTTGAGATCAATCAACTGAAATCAATATAATTAAGAAAAATTTCTAAATAAAACAAAAAGATGAGATTACTAGGACTTATAAGAGGTGAGTTGTGGGCGTGCAGTGGGCTAGAGGACCAAATCGACACCAGAGGCTAAAACTAGAACTGACTTCCCAGTATAATGGACCTCAATGAAACGGTGACTAGAAGAAAAAGGCCAACGGCCCAAAAAGACAACAGAATTCTGTCTGCCCAGGGCATTGGATGGACAGTTGATATGTTCTGAGTCTGTAAAAACTGGCTTGAGACAGAAAGTAATCCTAAAATTAAAATTGTTATTTTCACCAATGTTTTACATGTTATACAGCAAGCCAGGCATGCTCTGTGGCTAAGGAAGTCCTCATCACATAAATGTTAAGTCATCCTACAGAGTGCTAACCTGCAGTTCAATTAAAGCTATTACGAAAATAACTTCTATAAAGCCTTACCTTGATCGACTCCGATCCTTATTCCGATCTGAACTCCTTTCCCGATCGCGGTCACGATCTCTCTCTCGATCACGATCCCGATCTCTCTCCTTTGTCCGGTCACGATCCCTATCCCGTTCTCGTTCCCGCTCCCGTTCCTTCTCCTTTTCTCGTTCACGTTCTCTTTCCCTTTCTCGTTCTCGTTCTCGCCTTTCTCGTTCCCTTTCACGCTCCCTCTCTCTTTCTCTCCGTTCTTTCTCAATTTCCTGTCTTTCTTTTTCTTTTTTGCCTTTCTCTTCTTCCAGTTTCTAGAAACCAATAAAAGTACTTTTAGAGTTAATCTGTGGTTCCAGTATTCAGATTTTTCCCAGCACAATGCCCAATATTAACAACAACAACAAAAAACCACTGGTACTTTGCTATTAAATATTTGTGGTTTTACTTGACAAATTAAATTGAAGCAATCACAAGACTAGATAGATTTCGTGCAAAACCATATACTCTACACAGACCAGGAATCTCCAATCTTGGATGCTGGGAGATTGTGTCAAGTGTGGCTAGCCACTCAATGATTATATAACTAAAATGATCATGAAGAATGTGTTGGTTCATAGAGTTCTAAAAAGACAATCAGTTAGCAAAAATGTGATTCTTCCCATTATAAATTTCTGTAAATCAGTGGGATTATGGATACTAATTTCAAACCACAACTTCCCACTACCTAAAGGTTGTGATTAAGGGTTTTAAAAAGGAGGTGGAGAAGAAGAGTCAGGTCACTGTAACGCAACTAAATAGTATGTCTTCTAATATGCCCACCCTCCAAAAGGCAAGGTAAATTCAACCAAGATCTGCCTCACTATCTGTGGAAACATTTACTCCCACCATTACAAGATGGACAGCCCACCAAATTCAAAAGTTTGAAAAATCACTCACTTCAAGCAAAAATTTTAACTTAACTGTAAAAGCAATATATTTGTGCCCATTATGCCTATAAGACAATAAAAATATATCAACAGTGATAAATCCATCCTGGGAAGGAATGATTGTGTATTAACTTACAGATGCTGTGTTAGGACATGGATCGCCAACACTGGATTAACCTTGCCTACAAGCTATGTTTCTGGGAGGAAGAGCAAGTACATGGTTCACAAATAAACCAAATTAACAAAGTCAGACCAAGTTTGTACCCTCACAAGATTACCAGTGCACCACACGGTTTCTATACAAACTCAGAAGAAGAAAAAATACCCCAAACAGGAAAAACAAAACAAAAACAACACATTTATCTCTTTGGTTCCATGTTTAGAGTCACTGAAATGAAATTTAAACTGTAACAATAAAATGTTCATTTTTTCTTTTCTCAGTCATGTAAAGCATTTAAAACAACTTTAAAAAGCAATCTTACCTTTTATACTCTTTTTCTCTTGCTCATGGATCAGAGAACTGATAGGATTATGAAAGAAAAGCTAATGCATGAAAAATCAATATATTCAGCTGCTGTGCCAGTCTGTACCAAAGTAGAATGCAGGCAAAGCTAATACTGAATACATTGAAATTACAAAGGAAAGAGAAAAAGAAATGGTAGAAAGAGGACAGAAACTAAAGGCTATTTAAAGGGGCAATTCTAATTTTTCAAACAGTTCTAATGGATTACAAAAATTTTAATTGTAAAATGAGGCTAGACTACATAACACTTACCTCAGTGTCATACACTTATAAAGAAATTTGTTTATTTCTGAGATAAATACTTACAGACTTTAGCTGTTCCAATAATTTCTTTTGTAGAATTCCTCAATTTTTTTACTCTTGTTTATTCACTGCACTACTTATTTCTTAGGTGTATAGTTTCACTTATGTAAGTAATAATTTGTTTCAGAACTCATTCAAAGTTTTTGTTCTAAGTAAATGAAAAAGTGAGTGAATCTGGTCCATAATGCATTTCTAAAAGATTATATATGTGGTAAATAGATACACACACATATATGCATTTTAAGACAAAGACTGAAGAAAGAGGAAATGGAGACTAAAATGGTATGAGTAGTGAAATAATGAAAAGGAAAGAATAGAAAGAAATCATAAATCTTACCTTATTCTCTCTTCAGACTCGTCCGTGCTGTAAATGGACGCCCCCTGCCACGCTGATACCCTGACAGTCTGTGGTTATTTAGTAAACTCATACCAAAACATGCAAAGGTTCACTGAGCTCATTTTTTGTTACTCAAGTTTTAAACATTTCCTTTAAGCATCCACCCAATAACAAAAACAGTTTTTCATTTTGACCTTTTTGTTAAAGCACATTTTGGAAATTCAAAACATTCCCCCGCCCACCCTACAGTGAAATAAGTCTAAGGAAGTCAAATGCCTGACAGCTTCTCAAACTCTGAAGCAAATATCTTGAAATAATTTTTTAAAAAACACGATTTTGTCATACTTTACCAATGACATGACCGGGATTAACAAATAACAAAAAGGGGGTAAACCACACACACAACTGTATACTGTTTTCAAGCTTACTCAGACTCTGAGTTTGAAAATAAACATAACCAAAAGTATTCCTCTAAAATGACTTCCCACAGGCTATCCCTTTAACTAAAAATTAAGCTGAGGGAACTGCATTTGTACTTTTATTCATATTTAATTTCTGAAAAAGCACTGTGTATGTGAACTAGGGTTGGGCATGGATAATAAGTGTTCAGCAGCATTAATTCAATGGCATTAATTATCAACTTGGAATTTTAAAAGCAGTAAGAAAAAATAAGATTAAATAAAAGAAAAAATGAATTCAACTTTTCACTGAGTTAAAAGTCACTCAGTCTTATGTGGAAGAACCAGTAATACCTTACTATCTTTAACATCAAAATATATTTCATGCAGTGTTTGCATTTTACTGTCCAAAAGCATCAACTTCAACATCAGCGAACATTCACAGATGCACTGTCATTGAGAGAAGCTTTCAATAGGCAAAACTCGTGAGATTTACTACACACAAATACCCATTTCCAAGCCAGTTACCCCTTTGCATATTTTTCTGAGGGGGCATCCATAAATATAATAAAAAACAGAAGCTCATACTTACATCCTATTCCTTGTTACTTTCCAAGCTGAGTGTTTCATCTTGCATTAGTCACCATATGATCTCTATCATAATGGTGGGGGTCAATGAATAGATTAGCTTTATGGGCATTTACAGTTCTTCCATGCATCTAAAATTTGGTAAGTCTGGTAATCACTGACCTACTTTTTTTAAATCTCCCCCTCTCAAATTAAATCTACACAAATATAAATCTTAATTTTTAACCTCAGCTCTAAAGAAAAGGTTTTCCTAAGATTAAGTTAAATAAATGCCCCCAGAAATACACTACAGTGTATGTTATCCTGTCCCCTTGAATCTAGTTTAAATCTGACCTTGATGTTTATGTTGAAACCTAAAAATAAAATTAGCTTTTATTCATATTAAAGTGAGATGACTGCAGAGTAGTCAGTAACTAAAAAAAAAAAAAATTAAATATAATATGTCAAGGTCCACTTTAATATGATATTGGTCTTATTTGTTTCTATCTAAATATCAATTAAACCTATAAAAAGCATTTAAATTTATATCCTAATGTAAGGTTGATTTTTTTTTTTTGTCTGTTTGCTTTGGATTCTGTAAAAAGTCTAGATTGATATCAAGTGAAAAAAACAAGAATACTACCTTGTGTGTATCTCTGAATTTGCTGATCTCTCGGGATATCAGGTCTCTTTTGTCTTCTTCCATTTCTATAGCATTTATATCTTCCTAAAAGACAGGGGACAGGAGGGAATGCATAAAGATCAATCTAATAAAAAGCAAAGGTTAGATATTCTGTACAGGTCTTACAAAAGATAAGAGTAAATAAATAAAAAGAACTTATATAGTAACAAATGTAATGATCTAAGTTAGTGAAAAATCTGGTAGACAAGAATTTAAAATGTGACAATCAGCAGTGAACATATTTATTGTCAAAGCCTTCAATGTAAACAAACCTTAGTGATGAGTGGATACGGGATCAGAGGTGCCACTGGAAATCTGCGGAAAATCTGCAAAAAAATCCACAAAGATTTTTTTTAAAAAACACAAGAGTTCACATTAACCTGCAAAACAATGCTATTTTATACTATAAGCATTGCTTCTGGGACATTTTCTTGATTTCAAATTACTTGATAATAAAAATATTTCACTCACTCTCAGTCTACAACCTCTCCCACCACCTCCTCTCCCTCCAACTTCCCTAAGCAACAGAATAAGGAGGGTCTCATACTAGTGGGGCTTTTTTCTTGACCCAGATATAGGAAACAATCATACCAATAAAATGTATCCATAATTCCTGCCGTAGAGCAGGATTTCTTTGATCCACTCTTACCAATCCATATCCAACATATATGTCTAGTTACTTTCTCCTTTCCCATTAACCTCAATTACCCTGTACCTGACTAACTCTACCAATTACCATTCCCAACTATCGGCATTTCACCAGACAGGTATTTATGACCATGTGAGGAAGAATGAGACAAGTAATAAAAATGTATTTGGCCACAAACAAAATTGAAGCTGGCCTAATAAGGCAATGAAATCCTAAATGATATGAACCTTGATATTAAATTATAATATGTTCCATATTACTTTTTCACGTATGTGCAATCCATGCATATAAAATAATTCTGATATTTTTAAAGGACACTCCCCATAATTTCTCTTAGTTTATTCAAAAGAAATTAGTATAAGAAAGCCAAACATTTTCTTTCAACCTGGACTCCCTAACGTTCAGTTAGCTTGGTCAGACAGAGTGGTTATGTTAATACACTGCAGAAGAGTGTGTCATCTTGTGCTGCTCTTTCACAGTTTTCCAGCTAGAATTTGAATAGCATTACTGTCCATAGAGAGGAATGAGATGTGGTTATAAGGAGACACAGCTAAAAATTAAAGAATGGGTAAAAATCTTCAATGAAGGATACCAGCGTCCTGCTTGGAGCAGAGACTGAACGATAATTAGGTAAAACAAGGCCAGTCCTTCATAGCCAAAAACATTTTACTGTAACCCTTAATATAAGTACCACCATCACTGAAGGTGGTTTTTCCCTTACTCAATTTGAATCCACAGCTAAGTACAAGCTTAAATGCCAGTGCATTTTAAACACAGTAAACAGAAATGTTTTGGTAAAAATATTAGGAGTTAATTGGTAGAACAGGTCAAATTAGGCTTAACAGTACAATTATTGTAAATGCTAGTCATTCTTCTATTTCCCCCTCAAAAGTTAAAATGTACTAAAAGCACAAGAGTGACACCATAAAAAGTAAATTGTAGAAATGACTGTTGTCAGAATTTAATAACACATACGTCCTCCTTCTTTTCCTTCTTCTTCTTCCTGGGGTGAGAGTCAGATTCTTGTGAAGGGGCATTGAGCTCACTGGAGTATTCGCGTATTAAAATTTCAATGGCCCCTTTGATCATCTGATCTCTTCTCTTAGTTTCTTCATCTAAGGCTTCTTCGTCATCATTAGTGACAGTTTCTGGCCTAGCAGTCTTAAAAAGGAAAACAAGGCAAATTCAGGAGGGGGGTTGGGGAGAATTAACCGAGAAAAATGAAAAACATTCTAAGAGTTAGCACACAAAACAAACATGTTTTCTTCAAAAAAATCTATGTAGTTTGCCTGGGCGGTGTGGCTCAGTGATTGAACAATGACCCATAAACCAGGATGTTGCCAGTATGATTCCTGGTCAGGGCACATGCCCAGGTTGTAGGCTTGATCCCCAGTAGGGAGCATGCAGGAGGCAGCCAATGGATAATTCTTTCTCATCACTGATGTTTCCCTCTCTCCCTCTCTGAAATCAATACAAATATTTTTTAATTAAAAAAACACACACATCTCTGAGGTTCTATTAAATTCAGACCTGATTTTGCTCTTAGCTTTATAAAATAAACTTTCATCATTTCTTTCCCTTTCTACCCTTGGTAGCTAATATTTTGACCCCTACCCAGCTATAATTGAAGATTAAATCATAGGACTAACATACTGTACAAAACATCTGCCAAGCTTTCCCAGTTTTTCAGACTGTCTTGCTCAATACTTGCACAAACTAAGAATATTTCCTAACTCAACAGTTGAAAATGTAATTATGTGAAAAAAGCAAAATATAATTTTATGTACACTATGCTAGGCACTATTTAAAATCAAAAAGCACATTTAGGTGAAAGGAACAAAAAGCACTAAGACAGTTTTGTACAATTAAATGCAAGCATCACACAGGTCAGAGGTGAAACAATGGCTTCTTTTCCCCCCGCCCTGCTCTCTAAAAGATACA